TTGCCAACTACGTACTGCCTTCGGTCTAAAATAAGTGATTTTTTGGCCCTTTTTTTTTTGTGGTCCATTGATTTTTCCAGATTTCAAGAATGAATTAATTATTTTTTTTGCATTACCCTTGGAGTAAATAGTGTTGGAGTATGTTTTAGGAGTGTTTATGTGAAGAGATAGTAAAGGTTAATATGGTCAATTTCATTGCTAATTAATGTAAAAAGGTGGATTTCTTAATCTGTGTGAAAACAGCTAAAAAATTACTTATTTTGGACCGAAGAAAGTATCAACTAAGAATTTGTTTTCTCATTTAAAATGTGTATTTTCCCTTTGCTGCAATTTGTACCATTTCATTTTGCCATTAAGGCTAGACTTCTTACTGGTTAGCCATTTATATTCAAAGTTCATCTTTGTCCTTAATTTATTGGGAGTTCGACACTCAAGAAAAAGAACAAACATAAAGAGAGAAAAGAAAAGAAAAAAAGAAGAGTAGGAAAATTGATGAGTAGCTTTTTCTTTTCCTTCCTTTCCTTTTCCTTTTCCTCTTCTCTTTAATTATTCCTTTCTCTTTTAGACGAATTTTTTTGGATTTTTCATTTAGTGTTCGGTATCTGAATTTGAGCCCGACTGTATTTAGATTCGCACCGTGTAGAGCCCCATTTGGGGGGAAGCACTCCCTATCAATAATTTTTCCATACTCAGGACTCAAACCCGAAATTTCTTATTAAGGGAAGAACAACCTCATCCGCTACATCGCATCCTTTGGTGGTCTCTTTTAGACAACTTTACTTTTTCATTTAGCAGCTTTGTCCAGCTATAGAGAATCTGATACAATGGCTGAAAAGGTTGTACCCACAAAACTACACTTTAGAAATTTTGTCACGTTGAATAAGTTACTTCTAATTCTAAAATTTACTAAAATAAACTTTCGAGGTTCACGTTAAAGATTGTATCGTTCTCGTTGGGTAAAATAATCTCAGCATAAATTTTCGCATAAAATAATATAATATATAGTTGGAAGAATTTTAAAAAATAATTTCTACATAACTAAAATAACATTGGATTGATTCTATAATTAACCTAAAGTATGCAAAAAAAAAAAAAAAAAGCTTTAAACTTCATCTACTAGTTTTTAGAATAATTGGAACTTAAAAAGCAAATGCCTTGTAATTTAAAATGATAGGCAGAAAGAACAAGTGTCCATAGCATATGCTTTGCTTGCTTTGAAGCGTACTAATATTTAACCACAATTTTAATAGAAGATGGCCCTACGATACCTGTAAATGTAAAAGTCAATAATGCATTTAGCAGCAATAAAATGTCATTACGTACAAACGAAGAGTTTGAGGTCACTTTCATGTGATAATAATTAAATAAAAATTGAAATTACATTTACTAATAGTTTAAAGAAGTTCTATACTAACATTATGATAGAAATGGCTAGGGCCAGTGGCGGACGCAGGATTTGAAGGTCAAGGGTGCACTTTTTCTTTCAACCAAAGTTTGCTTTGTATACGGGGTATTACTACTAATATATCAGTATTTTCAAAAAACTATATTCATAACAAAATTGTCGAATTTTTCGGATGTCGGTGAACCCTCACCTGATAACATAGGCCCGCCTCTGGCTAGGGCAGAGTACTTAACCTATTCTACGAGTTGTCAATGTCATGCTTACTATAGAGATATAAAAGACAATTAATAAGCCAATCCAATATATAAAAGTAAACCTTAATTAAATACAATCACATGTTTTGTCTGCTTACCTATTTGCCAAAACCATCAACTTTTGATAGAGTAATTAATATATAAGAAACGGAAATTTCCATTCACCATTTGTGAACAGACAAAGGCAAGAATCCGTTAAAGGGATGACAACGAAACAACACTTGAACATCACTCTTCATGTTGTTGATATATCATAGACTTGTGCTGAGGTTAGAATTTAAAGCTTATGTGTTCAGAATTTTAGTCATTTTATAAGTTATTAATTTTTAAATTAATAATTTTAAAATACTCGGTGGATCGAATTTTTTAATATAAATCAAGAATATGGATCAAAATTAATGGGTTCGACCGAATCCTTATCAAAGAATCTATTTGTTATATAATTTCCATTTGTGGGCAACAGATGACCGTAACAGACACTCATACTTCTGTTTAATTTTTTTACCTCCAAAAAAGAGTGATCCAATTTTATCCAGACAAAGGGCAAAACTCAAAAGCAAGTAAGCTATGGTCCTCCACCCTTCCCACGCCTAATTGAACTCAAATCTCAGCATACTTCTAGAAGCTCGAATCAGCATTTCACGTACGTCTTTACCATTTGAATGGAAGAAAATAATTTTGAAGATATCTGCTGTTTATTATTAGATTTTTGCGTGTAAAAATAATAATTTTTGAAAATTTTGACATGAAACTAAATGCCATCAAGTCACCGCCATTCAATTAATCAGCTACTACATTTTCTTTGGTCATTGGTGTGTCAATTTGAATTAGTTTCATGGGTTTTAACTGTGCGCACTAATGCTTAGACACATGAAAATAAATCATTTAAATTTAAACATTATCTCCCATAATTTTTACCAGTTTCATTGACTTAATATCATATATATCTTCAATGACCCTATGTCATACCCGTGAATGTTCAATTAATCAACTACATGTTAATATCCAATTAGCCAATATTTATTTTATGATTAAACTATTTTTTTTTTTTAAAAATGACATTCTATAGCCGCTCTCAAAATAATAGTCAAAAAATATATATAATTATATATATATATATAGGCATTTTGTATGTTATATATAAAATTATATAAATTTTATACACTTTTTCGGCTACCGAATATAAATAGTTTCTGACGCGGCTAAAAGTGAAAAAACAACCTATTTTTTTAATCCTACCCGCCCAACTGCAAACTTATTTATCTGTTTGGCCAAGCTTCTTCAATCCTAGAAGCACGTTTTTTTTTTTTCAAAAAAAAGTATTTTTTTTTTCAAAGTTGAAGTGTTTGGCCAAGCTTTTTGAAGAAACAAAAAGTGTTTTTGAGGAGAAACAGAAGTAGTTTTGGAGAAGCAGAAAAAAAATACTAGCTTCTTTCCATAAGTACTTTTTTGAAAAAAATACACTTAAAAATAATTTTTAAAAGCTTGGCCAAACACTAATTGTTGCTCAGAAGTACTTTTAAAATTAATTAGCCAAACACAAATTGATTCTCACCAAAAGTACTTTTAAGAAAAGCACTTTTGAGAAAAAGACACTTCTCAAAATAAGCTGATTTTTGCAGATAGGCCAAACAAGCTATAAGTGAGACTGGTTATGCTTTGTAAAATTCATACCGATGGAGTTACCCTAAATCCATTACTTAAAAAAAAGGGGGAAATTACATGATATGCCCGTTTATAAAACTCACTTTCATGATATACCTAAGTTTTGAAATTACATCAAATATCCCAAAAATATTACACGGTAAACATATCACGATATTCTACTTTGGAATACGATCCAAACCTCACTTACCATATATTCTAATTTGAAATATAATATTCTAATTAAACAGACCATAATGTTTTAATTTGGAATATATTATTCAAACTAAAGATACCACAATATTCTAATTTGAAAAATCCAAACCTAGCTTACTCTAAAATTCTAATGAAGAATACAATATCCATATTCAAACTAAACATGCTACAGTATTCTAATTTGGATACAATATCCAATTTAAATATATTCTAACAAAACATACTACAGTATTCTAATTTGGAATACAGTATCCAAACCAAATATACTAGAACATTTTAATTTGGAATACAGTATGCAATGCAAAATATACAAAAATTTTAAATTTGGAATACAATATTCAAACTAAACATGCTACAGTATTCTAATTTGGAATACAATATCCAAATTAAATATATCACGATATTCTAATTTGAAATATACAGTATTATATTTTAGAATACAGTAGGTATACATGGTAAAATAATTTTATAAAGTAGGTATACAGAGTAAAATAAATATTTTAAATATATATCGTGTTAACTGATGTTTTCAATGGGCATACAAAGTAGATTATCCAATTCCTCTTCCATTTGATTATGCTCTTTGCATACACAATTCCATTCCTAAACTTCGCGATGGAAGCAGAAATTTCGATTCCACCAACCACTTCACCCAATAAAAGATATCGATGACAACCACTTTCATCGACTGCATCCGTGTTCCAGCCTAGTAAGCTTGAAATGTACGGAACAAGAGGCTTTTACTCCAATCAAAACTGGGAGACACACCAGAGTCCTTATTACACAAAATTAACTCTTCAATATCTGAGCGAGCAAAGCTATATTTTAAGCAAAACAACTGGGGAAGGCTTTTCCTTTTGCCTTCTTTCTAGGAAAATAAGACAAGTAATGCACGGATGTTAGGCAATTACCAAAACTATACTTTGTACTATCGTGTCGACAGAAGAGGATAATTTTCATACTACTGTATTTTGCGTATTTGGAGTTTTTCCAGTTCTCTTCATCGAGTAGTTATGTCAGCATTCTTCATGTTGTCACAATTGGAGATCTCATCATCGAATAAGGCCACAGGAAATTTTAGTAGCTCAGTCGGTTGACTACCTGAATTTTCACCTTGTGAGGTGTTCAATTTTCCATCTTGTAATTCCCTTCCCCTACCCCCTATATCTAACTTTAAAAAAGAAGAATAACGCCATGGGATAAAAGAAAAAAGAACCTTTTGTAATCTGTTATGGTTTGTGCGAAAATGATGAAGTTGGATCAATATATATCCTTCCTCTATAGAGCGACAGAGAAATGATATCTTCGTTTAAAGAATGTTAACAAAAATAAACTGAAAAAAGAGAAGTCGTTGAAAGCTTTTCAGGGACCCACCTAAAAATATCACAGATTCTTTCTGCGAATAATAAAATCTACTTTCCTCTTAGATTTATCCATTTAATTTTAAATGAGGCAGTTCGTACAAGTTAATGATGCTCCAGTGGACTGAAAAGTAGGTAACGCTAAGGATATTGCGACGTGTTCGGTGTTGAGGGTTGTACCAACGGAGAATATCTACAGAGCATTTAAATTCAGCGGGTTCCAAAGAAACTCACCAAATTACTGAAATGACTGAAATCAATTGAGGCCACCATTGGAAACTTGAAAATACAAGTTAGCATATACTTAAAAGGCAAATAAATAAATAAAATTCCCACACAAAAAGAAAACAGCTGCACAATATTTCTGGGTTCTGGTCCTTTACCATTAGTTTCCTAAAAGGGAAACAAAGAAACCCAAGCCACAAGAACCTGAGATTCAAAAATAAGGTAAAAGAACTTATTTCTTCAATTTTAAAAAGCAACAATCAAAGCATGGCGTTTAGATCTCTGATATCTTACCATATATTCAAACAGATAACTGCCACCTGTCAAGCTGCAGTGTATCTCTGAAAGTGAAGCAGCATGAGCAGGCGTTAGTTATGTTAACCTGCGATTGGCTATTGCAAACTCCAACTATGAACATAGGTTCTGAAGAGGAAAAAAAAAAAACATTCTATGGATTAATGTAAGATATAATATTGCTAAACAGAGAGCATAATGTTACATCACAAAAACCATAATGACTTCTTTCAAGTTCAACAGTCTCAGTTGAACTTTCACCTCGTTGGTGAAGGTTCGATTTCCCACCTTATAATCCCCTTCTCCATTTTCCCTTCCCCTACCCCTTGTGTAATTAAAAAAATTGCTGAGAAACTGGGGTAGAGCAGTTGCTGCAGTAATGCCAAATCCTTGAGGATCTCTTTTGGTAAGTTAAATAATTTTATCGATGTGGGAATAAATCCCACACAAGCAGTATACTCCGTTAGGATTATGTATACAGCATTTTAAAATACCAAATCACCTTGCAAGAAACAAGGCACAACAGAAAGCAGTCATTAAAGTCCCAGAGACAAATCATTACCTGCAGCTTTACCATATATGAGAACCCCAGATACTCCAGATCAACAATTGGAGTTAACAGAGGGCCTGGGTAAAGGCTGCAACACCACAAGTTTTACTTGGACATTTGCAACACCTGAGAAGTGCGGTAATGACAATAGATCATGATCTTAATCTGCTTATTACTCTTTGGCTCATTGGTCAAACTTCATCTCTGTATATCTGCGCCCAGAATATTAAAGGAAACTCAGAATCTTTATTAAAGTTAAGCAAACAGGATATATACAAACAGTAGTTGTACAAAAAAGAACTTCGGGAATAAGATATCTCGATGCAGCAATATGGAATCGAGGCTTGCCTGCGAGGGTTCTTCTGTCGCTGTCCGGGATTATCATTAGTTAGCTCTGGAGAATGAAATTAAGGCAGACAAGATCAGATATAGAGGCAAAAATTTTTTAACACCTAAGTGAATTTTGCAGAACTAGTAGAACAAAAAAGTGGAAATGATTAGAGCAGTCATACCATTCTTCTGTTCAAGCTTCCTTTCATGGTTTGGTTTACTGGCGCTATCCTCTTTGCTGCAGACAGAAGTAACTGTTAAGATGGTTTTCAACTTATTTTTTCTATAATACTGCTCTAAACATCTAAAGCTGCAGTTATTCATATTAAAAAAGAAAGTACTTTCTCAAAGGCGAACAGGATGTACGAAACAACTTTTATTGGTGAAAATGAATCACAGAGACATTTAACTATAACCTTGCAAAGCAATGACACAAGAACTCTCTTCAAGTAAAACTGTCCAGAAACTAAAAATTTCCAGCACAATGCATAAGAAATGTCAAAACAGACAAGATGAATCCCTTGAACTTTCAAGTCTGCTATATGTGATCCAAAGGAATGAGAATAACAATATTGACCAAAGTACGACATGGAAACTCAAGCCAGAAGGAAACACAAAAAAAAAACTGGAATATCTTCTAAACAGCCAAATATACTGACCTTGGAGCAGCAGTAAGAGATGATATCTGCCCACCAGATGGTCGAGCATGATAACCACCATCAAAAGCAAAATATGGTGAACAGTATGTTGCGCCCAATGCTCCTGCAGCCCCAGCTAGAACTGGCAACCTGGAGATCGGAAAATGGCATTATTTAAGTATTACCCCATTCGGCATGACGATGAAGACATATTAATGAATAGTTTCATTCTGCTAACTTCCAAGAATTCAGACAGAAAGGATAATTCATTCCCACTATGCATAGGTAAAGCTGCCACTCCAACTGGGTATAAATTAGGAAAGAACCAGCAATAAAATCTCCATAAAGTACAAGGCGACAACTTCCTCACACTCTCCCCTTTCATTTTGTAAATATTTTGATTAGCATCACAGTTGTTAAAGACAACCTTACCATGTCATATCGGAGTTCTGGCCAACATATCCAGGGAAGGCCATGCCAACAGCAGGAACCCTCATGCCACCAGGTTGCTGGCCCCCAAATTGCATGACTGCAAAATTCCATAACTTTGTTAAAAACTTCCACTGGGAAAATCCAGAAGTACAAAAGTGATCCTCCTTAATAATGTAAACTACTCGACTCAATATAATCACAGCAAGATTTCTGGAAAAGAAACCTAGCTAATTTGATATTATTAACTTTCTCTCAATAAAAAGGTACAGGACATATACAATCAGATTTATTAAATCTTCCATCAGAACCACCTCTCTACTCCCTCGGGGTATGGGTAAGGTCTATGTACACACTACCCTCCCCAGGCCCCACTTTTGGGATTTTACTGGGTTGTTATTGTTGTTGTTGTTCCATCGGAACAACATTACAGAACAATTAACATAAGGAAGTGCATTTTGGAACAAGAGTGATATTCAGCTAAAAGTATATGTTTTTAGCATATTTCCGACTCATATCTTGAGAATATTTGTTGTGGTTTAATTCATAATTGATGCGGGAGTGATTTTTGATGAAGGTGGAATTAAAGTGAAGGATTGGCACTAGTTGGAGTTGGAAACACATGAAGAACTGAAGTTACTAGGGGACGTCTAGAGTGCTCGCATCGCAAGCGTGTGTGGCCTACAAGAGGTTTTACAAGTCGTGCAAGACAGTGAAGTGAGGCCATCGCGACAACCATCACAAGACCTCCATGAAGTTGGATGTCAAGGTGCTTGTGCTGCATCCCCTAAGACGAGCGCTACAGGTTCTCCTAGCTGACTTGGGATTGAAGTAAATGTCTCCTACACCTATAAATAACCCTAAACAGGATTTTTAAACAACTTTTGACCTAGGAGAGTAAGGAACGGCCGAGGAGCTTTGAGTTCATCCTTTCTTCTGGCAAACCAATAATTTTTTCTTTGGATATTTGTTGTTTAACAATCATATCTATGTGGAGCTAAACTTCACATTCTAAGGTTTTAGTTTTTTCATGAACGTTGTTATTTGAATATTGATTTCGGCTTGTTAATTCATCGTATTAGTTTATTTATTCAATCATGCGTTTAATTATTCAACTACTTAATCACCAATTGAATACTATCTATGAATCTAGGGATGAATTCGGGAGAGAGAATTCTAGATTGCAAACAGGATCGAGTAGAGCATGTTTCTGAACCCGTACCTCGAGGAGTGATCCACGGTTAGGATAGGGATATAACTAACAGTCTCGCTTAGTCATTACACAGGAATTACAAAAGCGTTCTTGTTAACTCTAATTCCATAGGAATATAGGCGTTAGATTAACCTGAATAGGCAAGTAGTACTTCGGTAGAATGCTACGAGTAATATTAACCATGTGACTATTCAACTAGATAGATTGAGAAGTTGAATCGGTTGAAGAATACAACAGGATGCTAGATAGCCCATCACCCTAGATCGTTTTCATCACATTGGTAACATAAAAATCTACTCTTCCTCTGTTCAAAGTTCATTATTTATTTCTTTTTAGTTTAATTTGTTTATTCCTTGCTTAGATAATTGGGATCGTTTAATCTAGTTAATAGTTCATAACAAGTCCTCATGGGAACTATACCCTACTTATCACTTTATTACTTGTCGACCGCGTTCACTTGTGTGTGCGTTTGGCCGCAACAAAGAGCTAGTTTCCTTCTGCATTTCACATTATAGATGCTAGATATGAAAGGTCTACCTGGCAAATACGGTGGAGTTGCAGATAAGTTCTGATCAACGTGACCACTACCCATGCTTCCAGGTGTGCCCATAACTAGTGGTGTTCCGCCATAGAGAGCTGATCCCCTTCCAGTGCCCTGAAGACTTCCTTTTCCTTTTGCAACAATAGCACTCTTTGATTTACCCGACTCCGAAGAAGACTCGAGCTCTCCATGAAAGGTATTCATAGTTTGTCCTGTTTTCAGGGGAGAAGATTGAGATCCAGTACCAGATTGCTGCACAAGCTGCTGGATAACTTGCAAAGAAGGCTGTCCTCGACTTTGAGCAGAATTTCGCTGAGTGGAGTGGACCTTGGTTGGCTGAGTAACTCTGCTACCTTGGTTATTGGGTACAGGGTATTGGTAATTCATATGTGGCAATGTATTAAATCCTCTTCCTTGGCCTCTCAATGGCTGAGACTGCTTAGAATTTACTGATGAGGAACCAGGAGGCATATGTAAGCTGGATGGAAGCTTCCCAGAAACTGTAGAAATAGGACCATCAACTTTATATTTGTCTATGCCGCTAGAGCCACTCACATCCTTCCCCCGCAACATCGCAGTTGATTGTGCAGCAGCAGAACTTCCGCCCAAAAGAGAAGGCTGTGCACGGTGGCTGCTTGTCCCGGTTTGCAATTCCCTCTTGTGTGTCACTGTAATTTCTGTAGTCGAAGGACCAGAGGGGTAAAATGGAGGAGAAGCATAATTCAAGCTTGATATAAAGCCTTGCTTCGCAGATGTAATTCCTTCATTTTCGAAATTTGATACAGGAGCAGATGCTTTGCCATTGCTATTATGAGAAAGTTTCTCAACTGACTGACCAGATCTGGAGAAAAAGTTCAATACGAGAAAGATGGTTGAAGGTTAAACAGAAAATTGAGGAAGAGACGAAAGGAAAATTAGCTGACTTGCAACTCACCGCTTGTTCAGTGGAGGAGCATCAATGTTTTCCTTAGATAATGGTCGATACCTGCTTGGCCCACGACCTCGCACACCTTTTGATGCATTGTTCTGAATCTTCTGGTTATTATCGGTACTCTGATTATAATCGTTGATGTATGTGGCTGGTCTTCTTCCCCGTGAAGTTCCACGTTCAGCCCCTCGAGTTCTACCACGACCTCGATACCGACCCCTTGAAGTCCTTCTACCCTGAGAAATTAGAAAGAACAATTTAAGACCATACAATTTAATGCGCAGAAGACTAGGAAACAAGGAAAAAGAAAGAAGCCACAAAAAATAGCACGTCACTAAAAGCACTCACCTCTCCATAATGCCTCTCCTCCATGGTCAACTCTTCAAACTTGTCATGCCCCCATTTCCAATCATCTTTGGATTCCCATAATTTTCTTCCACCAAATGTACGCCTAACAAAACAAGTAACATAGGACAACCGTATAAATTTCTCTCATTACTACAGAAGCTTATTTGTAATGAAAATTTTTCTATCACAAGTTGCAAAAACGTATAAGCAGTGAAATGTAAAATTAAAATGTTAGTCAAAACTACAACTTACAACATCAAGCAAAACAGGGTGTGAATTGGGGGGAGAGAGAGAGAGAGAGAGAGAGAGAGAGAGAGAGAGAGAGAGAGAGAGCAGAATGTTCCATTAATCTGGTATAGTAAATCAACTTAGTAGCACTTTATATAGTTTTGAGTGCATTAACTGCCCTTTTCTCCTTGCAGAAAAATACTCTTAGAAGGGGCAAAAGAAGCACGTTACGTTCAAAGATAATATTATTGTCTGACCTAATATTTCAACAAAGAGAAGAAATAGCAGATGCAGAACTGCAGTCCTTCCTTTTTCTACCTTTAGACATACTACTTTGCTACCCCGGATTCTATAATAAGTCGTTCCCGCCAGCATCTGCTTGCAACACAAAATATTTAGCAAAGCAAGTTCTAGGACGAAAGGTGGCGCATATATTATCGTAATGACTAGAAAACAATGCACACCCTCCCTGCTAATTCTCTTTTTTGACTGTCCAAAGTATACAAGAAAAAAAGTACCAGCTATAGTAATTACTCTTGCTAGGCCGTCTATCAGCACATAAGTTTAAGAATTGAAAAACAAGAATGTTGAAGTTACCAAAGTTTAGCTGCTTTAACATATCGAAGCTTAATAATTTCAAATTCCCAGGGAGAACATGCACTCAAGCCTCTATGACAATACAATTTAAGCATAGACCAAACTTAAATTCATGAAAGCATATCATCCATTACCAAAAAAATTATGTGCAAGTGATTCTATTTAGTTTAAGGTGCAAGACAAAAGTCAAAAATAAAATTAAGGTTCTTTCCCCAACATATTCACTGGCTCACTTATTTCTACTTGACTTCTAACAAGCCGATTCTCTCAAATAAGATTTCTCAATATATAACAACAACGACAACAACAACAATGTCTCGACACCAAGCTAATTGGGGGAAACCTGACCTGTGTGGGGCAGCTGCAGCATTGTCTCGAAACCTATCATCGTGCATGTAGAAAGCACCGGCAGTGGGAACAGAATAGGGTTCATTCGGTTTATTAGCCTCTCCCGGGACAACGCCATCGCCATCGCCATCATCCATCCCCGAATTCAATTCCCTCACTACTTCCTTTACTACTTCATCCTCCTCACCTAATATTGCCTCTGCTTCAACAGCACTTTCTTCATTACTCACACTACCTTCATCATAAACTTCCTCTTCCTCCACATACTCTTCTTCTTCTTCTAATTCGTCTTCCTAGTCGTATTCAGCAGCAGCGCCTTGTCCTTCCTCTGAATCGTCATCAGAGTCGTCAATCCTCCTTGAGGGCATTTCTGTCTTTTCGCTCTCTTCTTCATCATCACTACTTGCCTCTCTCCTCCTCATCTTCAACGACATCTTTGCTTCCTCCGGATCGCTCTCGTACTCCTCGACTTCTTTTTCTCCCACTCCCGCCATCATCAATAACACACCCAAAAAACAAACTTTACACCAATAATATCAACAAAAGAACCCTAAATTGACGAGAATTTGAATGAAATATTGGGTTTAGGGGGGATGTGATCTGAATTTCGCGGGATTAAGGTATGGCTATGGAAAAACCTAGAGTTTGAGAGGGGGCAACATCAGTTGATTTTTTGCAGGATATTTTGGGTCGTCAGCAAAGTACAAATAAGGAAAAGATCGAAGACGTATCGCGTTCTGATTGGGACTTTAATGTTTTTTCGGGACAAAAAAACAAGTTTTTACTACTAAAAAAAAAAGTTACTTAAATACATAATTCGCAGTACTATACTGCGAATTACTTTAATAGAATTTTAGCCGTTAAAGTAGTTCGCAGTAAAGTACTGCGAATCAATTAAAAAGTTAGTGATTCGCAGTATTGTACTGCGTATTATAAAAAATATTTTTTTTGCTAATTCGCAGTATTGTACTGCGAATTACTGAGTTGGCCCCACCAATAATTAACTAACATAACAATAATTCAAACACATAAAACGTATTATTGTACTGCGAATTCCTTAAAAAAATTATGCACCCCAGGCTCGAACTTGCCTTATTTAAAGGCGTTTCAGTTTTATGAAAATTCATTCAATACAAACTTTTAACTTTCGTTCATACTTCTCTCTTCTTCTTATCAATTATTTTTGTACAATGTCTGAAGAGTCAAAAATAAGAGTTTCATTATATTGGGGGGGGGGGGGGGGGGGTGGTGAGGTTGTGCTGGAGAATAACTCTGTGAGTTATAGCTCACCTCCACAGTCTCATGTTAAATTACCGCTTACTATGGAGTATGATAAATTGGTTTCGTTGTTATGTAAAAAAATGAGGGTGAGGAAGCGTTCAGTTAACCTTAAAGTAACCGGTAGGTTTCTGTATTCAGTGACTCCGCAGGGGTTTGCTTATTATTCTGAGTTTAACATCGAGGATGATGAAACTCTTCGAGATTTTTTGCGGATTCCGGATGAATACAGGGAATTTATTGTAATAAAATTATTGGAAATGTACGTCAAAGTGGAAGACGTTCCCAATAATGAGGGCGTGCATAGTAGGGATAACCCCCAGTCATCGGGTAGTTATTCTGGAGCAGTTTTTGCCGGAGAGATTGCTGATGAAAGAGTTTGCCTTGATTTAAACTTGTCACCACCGGCGAATGAGCAGCCACAAAATAATTTTTCGACTTTATATAATCAACAAGACGACTGGTAAACTTCAATTTTACTGCGCTTTAGCGATGTTTGTTTTATGTTTTAATTGGATTTGTATTAACACTTATATTTTTCATAGGGGATACCGTCCGGATATGAATTTTACAAGTTATGACCCCGTCCCTAGTTGGAATATGCGTAGTTCTGGAGTATTGGAGCACGGTGGTCCATCCGGGAGTCATCACCAACAAGAAAATATCCATCACGAAACGTCAAGACACTTGTAAGTAAATTGATATAGCTATATCAAATGTATTTATGTAGTTGGGTAACTTATAATTTTGTTCTTTTTGTGCAGTGAAAACGAGCTTCTTGATGTTCCTGACCTCACACAGTTGCCCAAGACGACGTATTGACTCGTGATTTGGCTGATGCGTAGAGTCAGGAAGATGATAGTGATTATGACAACAATGCGGATGAGTCTGGGGATGACACACCCTTCCATGATAAGGGTGATGATGAGGAGGAAGTGAATGTTGAACCTGAGCTGACGAGGGAGCATGTTCCTCCACCTCCCGCTAGACAAAGAGTGTACGAGTCCCACGTGCCATTTCATGAGCGGAATATTCCCTACCTTGATAATTTGCCAAGTATGCCGAACGTGGATGCCCTCACAAGGGATGATGACGAAATTCGGTCAGCAATGTGGGATGAGTCTAGACCAGCTGTTCTGACAAAGGGCATGTATTTCCCCGATAAAGCTCGCCTAATTAGGGTTATAAAATCTACAGTATAACAGAGTGCCGTGAGATGACGGTAAGTGAGTCAACTACGGAGGTATACAAGGCTGTATGCCGTAGGTGGTTTATGGGTTGTCACTGGATGTTGCGTACCAGCAAGAAGAAATCAGGTTTGTGGAAAGTGGGTAAATTTATTAGCGAGCACAGATGTGAAATGGACACATTCAATGAGAATCACTTCAACTTGGATGTGGACTTGATTTCTCTTGTCTTGATTCCATATTTGAAAGTGTCCATTAGGTTCAAGATTAAAGAGTGTATTACAGCCGTCCACCAGGAGTATGGTTGTACTATAACCAAAAGAAAGGCATATCTCGGTCGCAAACGTGCCTTTGAACTTATTTATGGCAACTGGGATAAGTCTTTTTCAAATCTGCCCAGGTACATGGCCGCACTGCAACACTTTAACCCCGGGACTGTTGTTGAATGGAGGCGTGAGCGGAGTCCGGACAGACCGGAATATATTTTCAACTATGTGTTCTGGTCATTTAAACCAGCAATTGATGGTTTTGTGCATTGTCGTCCTGTAATTTCCATAGACGGTACTCATGTCTATGGAAAGTATGATATTAAGCTTTTGATTGCAGTTGTAGTAGATGCCAACGGACAAATATTTCCACTAGCTTTTGCCATTTGTGCCAACGAAAGCGAAGAGACGTGGACGCATTTTTTAAACCACTTGAAGCAGCACGTTGTCAAACAGTGTTCGGGTATTTGTCTAATATCTGATCGGCATGGTGGTATTTTAAGTTCTGTACGTCACTTGGCTGAATGGCATGAACCATATGCATACCACCGTTACTGTGTGAGGCATCTGAAGGCCAATTTCCAGAAGAAATTTCCTGACGAGCCCTTGCATGACTTAATGTGGATGGCTGCAACTGAGCACCAGCAGTGCAAATTCACGAGGCGCATGGAAGCGATCCGGCAGATAGATCCACAAGCCTATACTTGGTTGATGCGACATGAGCTTCACATGTGGACATTGCATGCTGATGGTGGCAGACGATGGGGATCCCTCACTACAAATGTGTCGGAGTCATTCAACGGCTTGTTAAAGTCTGCCCGTGGACTGCCTGTCACTGCCATGGTCCGCATGACATTCAAACAGAGTGCGAAGAGGTTTGTTGAAAGGCATGCAGCTGCATCGGCATTGATGGACAGGGGTGTTGAATTTATGCCAATACCCATGAGAAGATTTGAAAGGTCCAGGAGGCGAGCACAGTGGCATTCATTTCTTTAGTACGATCATGAACGGGGTGTTTTTGAAGTTAAGACCGATCCGCGGACACCGTGGGAATAATCTACAGACGGTGAATGAAAATAGAAGGTTGTGTTCATGTGGGAAATGGACCATCTACCACATGCCGTGCGCACATGCGTTGAAGTGCTTTCAACAAGTTGGATATGGGGCAACAAACTATATTGATAGGCAATACAGTGTTGCTGCATACGTAGACACGTATAGTGGGAAGTTGCATCCATTAGGTGCTGAGCATTATTGGCCGCCGGAACCTTTTAAGATGGTATGTAACAAGGACTATTTGCGCAAGCTGCAAGTGCAAAAGAGAACGCGTATACGGAACCAAATGGATGTTGGTGACACCGTTTATGCGCGTAAATGTGGCATATGCTCGCAAACTGGACACGGCCGTCGTAAATGTCCTTCAGATAGTGTGCGTGGCGGTGGTAATCCGGCTCCTGGTGCAAGTTCGTCGAATGTACCCAACTATCAAGGATACCCCTAGTCTTTTGTTTTGGTATTGTTTTTGTAATACGTGTTTGTACTTGTGTATGTTGCAATATATATCAAATAAAATTATGTTCGACAATCTGGAATGAGTGAAGAAAAAGCTGTTTAATTGCAGGAAAATATAATATGTAAAGCGTGGTTTGATAGTTTCATATAACAACACAAGCACTTAAACTTAACTTCCACTTCAATTAAAATAAAATTTAGTACAACAAACAAGGAAAACATTACTACAGCACAAACACAAACGTAGCAGGCCAACATAATAAAAATACATGAAATATGAAAAATACACTAAACACATACATTCCAATGTTTAGTCCAGGTTGCCATTTGCTCTCCGCTCCAACCATTTAAATCGTTCTTCCAGTTGTTCTTTTTCTTCTTCTACCTCTTTCAGTTTCGCCTTCACCTCCGCAAGTTCCCGTTTATATTTTTTTTACGTTCATTTTGTGCTTCACAATTCCATTGTGCTTTCAATTTTTCTTCTTCCACCTCCTTCAGTTTCGCCCTCATTTCTGCAATAGTTCTATCGCTTTCGCTTTGTGTTTCCTGTTGGCGTAAACACATATTATGAAGAAACTGCAGTTTTTCTTTGTAATATTCCTGATAACATGGTTCATCAACCCATTCCTCAAACTCACAAATAGGTTCGCCCGGAACCTTGTAAAACTGGTTCATACAGTGCCAGTAGCAGCGTCCAGCTTCACCACCGTCCCAACAACTTTGCATCATGCATAATTTTCCACAGTAGCATTGTGGTGGACGAAGAGGTTGAGCCATATAATGAAATATTTGCTTTTGGTAAAAAAAACTTACTTTTAATGAAATATCTGCTTTTAGTAAATTTTGAGCATACAAAATAACTACAATGATCCCGTTATTTATAGGCGAGACAAAATAATTAATTCGCAGTATAGTACTGCGTTTTATGGAGTTGTCTTGTCGTTCTGAAAAAGATGAAAACCGTGTGAAAAAAGCTGTTGTCTTGCAGAAAAATTTAATAATTAATTCGCAGTATAGTATTGCGTTTTATGGAGTTGTCTTGTCGTTCTGAAAAAGATGAAAATCATGTGAAAAAAGCTGCTCTCTTGCAGAAAATTTTAATAATTAATTCACAGTATAGTACTACATTTTTTGGAGTTGTCTTGTCGTTAAAAATTTAATAATTAATTCGCAGTATAGTACTACGTTTTATGGAGTTGTCTTCTCGTTCTGAAAAAGATGAAACCCATGTGAAAAAAACTGATTTCTTGCAGAAAAATGTAATAATTAATTCGCAGTATAGTACTACGTTTTTTGGAGTTGTCTTATCGTTCTGAAAAAGATGAAATCCATGTCAAAAAACTGCTTTCTTTATGTTTCCTTTTAGTTCTACTGTTTGTTTTTGTGTTTGTGTTGTACTGTTTAAGTTAAATTGCTGTTCAAACGCAATTAAAATAACATTATTGTTAAAAGATAATTGTTACCATTATTTACATAATGCACTAATTACACAAAGTAAAAACATAAGTAAATCAGTGAGTCCCGCAGCCTGTGTGCTTCAGTGCAGCTGCCGGCCTAAGTCGCATCCCCTGTCGCCCGGGTACACTATCTGGATCATCGTCATCAAGCCGCCTCTTTATGTGTGGATGTGCAGCAGCATCGACACCACAGCTGGCAGGATCGGAAGAATAGGCCGTCGGGCCGTCAGCAACCTACAAAACAAGTAGTAATCTTAGATGTGAAAAAGTATATTTGTATTGTACGTGTTGAGTCAAAAAATATTTTCTCACCGTGGTCTCGTCCGCCGCCTGAGTATATGCATCTGTGGTGTCCTCATTAAAGCATGTAGTGGCCTTGAAGATGGGCTGGGACGAAACCTTCATAAGAAAGTTAAAAATTAATTAATGTCAGCTCATTAAGGAAAAGAAAACAAATTGAAATTTTAAAGTAATACAAACATACCTGCGCCTGTGGTAGATCCGCATCAACCGCTGGGGATGAGGCATAACTCAACCTGCGCCTGCCATCCACGTCCCGGGTGGGCCGATCCTCAGCTGCGGTAGATGGGCATGCAAAGTACTGGTCTACATCCCCGTCGAATGTACCCGTGATCGACAATGCTCCTGACGGGGTGACGTGCGATGCTGGAAGAGATAGCTGAAGGTTGTACGACGGCATGCTGCTGGATGGCTCATCTACCTGAGGTCCATAACCCGGCTGATCATCTCCAAGAGCCTCATCTCTAAAATCCCCATCATGTCCCTCCACAGGTGGACCACCCGCCGGCCATAGTCAACGAGTGCAGGATTATCGACATGCTGCTGCATCTCCTGTCCCATCTGGTAGAGGTGATGATGCCCAATAGCCTGTGAAACATTTAAAATATTAATTAAATAACGCTATATCACAATTATAAAATATTAATAAGCCACAAAAACATACCAGTGCCTCGTGCCTCCCGGCGTATTGTCTGTAACGATCGCCAAGCACATGAATGGGGTTCCCGATCATCAGTCGGGTGTGACGGCGGTACCATGACGTATACAGATAAATAGTGGCCTCCTAGGTAAATGTAGGTGGTGGCGTAATACGGTGACCTCGCTCCTCCCAAGTATGGACCTGCTGCTCTAGCCATCCCATATATATAACGTCCACCCTGGCACAGTCGTCCCGCCTGATAGTGTGTAGCCTCCCAC